GAATTTAATGATAATTTTTCAGTTTGTATTCCATATTTTGGGTTAAATAAAAGTAAATTAGAAATGTTTGGTGAATTTAATTGTAATCTTAGTTTTGAAAATAAATTTGTCAATATAAATTTGATCGTAGTGGCCAATGAGACTATGGGGTATGAGGTAGTTTTGGGTAGAGACTTTTTCAAAGCAAGTAATTTAATTTTGATATGCAAGGATGAGATCAAAAGGAATACATTAATTAAGTTGAAAAAGAGTGTCGATGATAACAGTGTTGAATATGAAAGTGTAAAAGATGAAGGTAAACATAAAGATTGTAATAAAAATTGTAAAGTAGAAAAGTGTATAGATACGTTAAATGAAACAAATGATAGAAAAACAAAAGTGGGTGATATAAATAAAACTGATTGTATTGTTGACAAAACAAATGACAGCAAAATGATAGGTGATGCAAATAAAAATAAAACGTTAACTGATGTGAATAAAAGAAAAGAGATAATTGATCGGAAAAATAATCTGAGTGATAATCGTTGTAAAACAAATATGGTTACAAATTGTATTTTTGATTTTTTTTTTGTTAAATACATTTTATTTGCAATCTATTTTAGTGAATAATAAGCAAATTTGATAACAAAACCATGATTTGACTTATATTTTTGATCTCTCATGAGATGAAAAATAATATACAATATTACAAAATATTTTAGATACAAATGTTTATATAAAAAATTTAATTATACATTTAATATATTAGTAACATATGTAATTAAATATTAACTTAATTCCTAAATGAGAGATCTAGATCTAGAACTAGAGCGGGTAAATAGGAGTTTGGGACCAATGATATCAAAAATGTTAAATACAGATAAACGATACAACTTGAATGCGGTAATAGAAAGTATAGAGCATGCTTTTAATAACACGATACATAGGACAACCGGGGAGCACCCGAGCGTAATGTTGTTSGGTGTAAATCAAAGAGGTGAAATTGTTGATTCGCTGAAAGAAAACTTAAGAGAAGTTGAAGTCATGTGAAAATCGAATTTTGCAGGATATTCGTGAGAAGGCAAGAGTAAAACAAGAACAGTTGCAACAGTATAATACAAACTTTGTTATGAGATTATGTGGTTATAAAAAATTTCGATTCTCACATAGGGGTGTCTAAAAAACTGATTCCTAAATTTAAGGGACCGTATTGTATTGAAAAAACTATACGAAACGATCGTTACTTACTTAGATATGTCGATGGGTTTCAACAGTCTCGAGTCCCATACCACGGGGTATGGGCAGTTGGAAATATAAGACCATGGTTCAAAGGACGCGAAGTCTAGTCAGTCACTTGAGATCAGGTGATCTCATGGTCAGGAYGGCCGAATTGTAGCAATGTAAATGTGATTACTGTATTACGTTGATGTTACTTGAATAAGCAATCCTGTTGTATTTTTGAATTTGTATCATATCTTATTTTAATGTTACTCGAATAAGCAACCCTGTTGTAATTTTTAAAACTTGTAACTGGCGACATGAAAGCGAGAAAAAATAAAGAAGAATCAGTTCGGACGCAACCACGAAACGAATCGGTCTTCCTACAAAAGGTAAGTAGTACAAATCACACATTTTAACTAACAAAATTAGTATATTGGGACGAAAAGTCCGGACTGATTTGATTGACTTTTGATATTAATCAAGTATACTGGAAAACATGTATCCAACCAATTATGAAGATAACTCATGCACTGATCAATATATTCGACATAAACTTTAGTAGAATAACTAAAATTTTGGTAAGTATCTTAAGCATGTTATATAAGTAATACATATTATAATTAAAGCCAACCGGAAGAAGAACTAAGTATGAAACCAAATTAATAAATACTAATTTTTTATTTTAGCTTCACTTAATTTTGGAAAGACAGTTTTAAGATGAAGATGTAAAGAAACAAGCTATTTCATATATCCCAGCTTTTAATGTAGCAGAGATAACATCATAAGCTTATACCAATGGGAGAATTAAAATGTTTTTACTGGCTATCTGATGTGACTCTCAAGATGGCCATACTTCGCGATCATAGTAATTGGATGTCCGACCATGTCATTCACAAAGATAGCAATGATATTTTGTGTAGCCACTTTGCGTGTCAAATAAAATTGTCAAAACTTTTAAGTCAACGATGACTTTGTCGTAGTTGAGGTCGAATTCATTCCGCACGAACTCAACGAGATAGTTGTTCTGTTGTAGATCGCAATTGAAACGACTGGAGTCTCCAAGTCAGGCTGAGAGTATGGCAGGAGTGATTGATAAAGACATAGCTTAACAGCTTCAGTCGACGCCTTAGGATGTATGTATGTATACGGCACCAAGGATAAATAGCGTATGATCTTCGACTTTAACGTCCACCAGGCATATGTCACTAACATTATGTTTTTCTGTTGTGTCTTGTTAGCATTTACGATGTTTGCTACAGTTCGTGGAGTTTTGTAGGTTTCTGTAGATTGCAGAACCTCCGGCTGCAGAAACTCTCACCGACAATTTAGATGCGGTAGATGGACAATCTGTACGATGTTTGAGCGTTTGTCCGCTGAATGTCAATGATTTTGAATTGCTTCACTTCTACTGATATTGACATCTCTCAGTTCTGTGGCAGATCCAATGATATATCGATCGTTTGTTCATTCGTTACGTCTATGAGTATAGGTATTCCAGTGGTAGAGGTACTCGCGAGGTCGGCGGCAGCAGCTTTGCGATGTTTCCGAAACCATCTCGCGCCGGACAATGCGGTACCTATGCGTGGCTCATAGCCCCCTTCTTGTAACGATAGCCGTAATTTATATTTCTGGCTGGCTCTTGCACCAGCGAGAGCGCCGGTTTCGCACAGTTTATCTTTAACCGACTTACGAGCGTAAATTTCCAAAAAGTGACTCTTTTTTATTTTTATTTTTATTTTTGTTTTGTTTTCTCAATGCATTTATTTGTGAATTATTCGAATCGTCAGTGAAAATTTGTGTTTCGTACAAAGTGATCAATTACAGATTGAAATTTGTTACGATGCCACAAAGAAAGCACACGCACGAGTACCGCAGGTTACGATGAAATCTGTGCTAAATTATGGACTGACGAATTTGTTTGTTACATTCACTTGCATTGCAAAATGGTCACAGATTAAGGAATCATTGAATCGCGATCAATCGGCAAGATCGTCACGACCTTTCAAACAACAGCGACGATGTTTGACGGACTTTGTCTTGAAGCAACGTATGCATACATATATGGTGCTGTTAGATATTGGATGTACTTTGTTGAGCTGCAAAAAAGAGGTTTACAGCACGCGAACAATCTTCTTTGGATGGTGGATGGTGGTTACACCAGATGAAATTGATGCAATCATTTCTGCGGAAATTCCTGACTCAGAGATAGATCCAGAATTATACGAAGTGGTGAAAACCTATATGGTTAATGGACCTTGCGGACATCACAATCCCATTTCAATTTGTATATGTGATTCTTAATAAATGCACGAAACAATATACACGAGATTTTCTTTCGGAAACGCAAACTAAAAATGATGGATAATCATAGTATCGGCGTCGCTCACAAGACGACAATGGCAGAACCTTCAGCATTCAATTTAGAGGAGTAAATGTCAAAGTTGACAACAAATGGATCGTACTATATTCACCGTTATTATCGTTCGCCGATAATCTAGCAAAGTAGTCGTAATATCTTGGCCATGTTGTTACAAGTTTGTATTGGGGTTTAATCAATTGTAAACCATTGAACTTACTTAACAGACGAAAGTATTATGAAGATTCTTCTTTTAAAGGGAGATTATTTTATTCCCTCCTTAAAATGTAGCCCACATATTTTAGATAACAAACTATGTTCCACGCCACATATTTTTCTCATTCCTCTCGTTGCAATTTATGAGTTAAGCATCCACCCCCTCTACCCGGTAAAACTGGCGCATCCGAATACAACACCGCAATTCACCACAGCTGATGACACTACAACACAACTCAACACATTTGTACACCAACCCACTCAACAAAAAGGATGGGCACATCCAACATTAAGGCAGACACAATTGGTTCTAAGCAATTCGTTTGACACATACAATTCGAGCATCAAATATTTTCAAATAATTTCACATATACACTCCGCCACGTCGACTCCTCACGACATCTCCAATTAAAAAATTCAACTACGATCCGTATCCACTCGATCGCCAGCAGTGACAAATCGTTCCCGGAATTGGAGTGTCATTTTTATTTAATTTAATGCAGTGGTGAGTGCTCCCCAATATATCGAGTATACATTTTAAGCACATTGGAAAGCTCCTTTCATGAATTGTTTTGAACAAGCTGCAGTTTTTACTTATTAAAAAACTAGAGGACCGTTCACTCTTTACTGTGGCTGACAAATAGACCTACAAAAAAATGGATAATAAAGCATTTCATGTGTTAATAAATCATTGCTTTTTGGGAAAAATACTGTTGAATTTGCGCTCTGCACCAGGAAAATGCACCGTGGAAAAGAGATTTGCTAAGTTGAAAACAGGCGAAATGACCACACAGGACAATGACACAATGAATCACAGAACAACGAATTGTTGGTTCTGAGGAGCTTTTGAGTACTCTTTAACACGGTTCCATCATTTCACATTGGAGTCCAATCGACAGTCAATCTAGTCGAGTGCAGATGATGAACCGGCTCTCAAGCGTGATTGCAGTTCGATTCTACTATTAAAAACATTTAGCGCTTGTAGTATTTTCATGGATTCATAGCGATCAGCTTATACCTGATTTGTTTAATACAATTTAAATTTTACAGTCATGAATTTGAATTAAGATTTAAAATATATTTTTTGTATTTATTGTAAATTTATTGACTTTTAACATAATAAAATAAGATGTTCATCCCCTGGTTCTAAGTTACCACCCATTAATTTTCAATCAAATCGATTAAGCTTTTCTTCAGTTGTAAATAGTATTTGAATTTTAGTACTTACATGAGCTTGGTCTTGAAGGTTTTCTATTTGCGCGGGGTCTTTGAGTCCCCGGGTTTCGGGCCGAAATAAAACTATTGCTTTCATGCATGCAAATTCTGCTGGATCAACTAGAACTGCCTTGTATTTGTAGAAAATTTCATGTAATGTCCGTACACTGGCGGCTACCTAGAAAATATTTAAATCTATTATCACTTATATTAGATATTACATTATCTGGATAAATGCTGATATTAAAATTAAACAAAAAACTACCATTTAAAGTTCACCGGAAAAATAGACGATTACATTTTGCACTGGAGGACATGGCCTTAAAGTCTGTTTGACGCTTTATTGCCTTTTAAGACAAAAAAAATTTATAAAGTTCGATGTAAACAATCATTATTTCCACTCATTAATGATAGTATTTGCTAACTTAATAATTCTTTTGCTGATTTCCATAATGAAAATATTAAAAAATATGAACGAAAAATAACACACTAATTTTTGTTTTATATTATATTTTAGATTCACGTTCTCACTAATATTATAATTGTAGATTTTTTATGTTTTAAAAGAAATTAACCAAAATTATTTAAAAACAAGTAAGGAAGAACTAAGCTCAGGTGTCACCGAACATTTTAAGCTCTTGCAACTTGCACGAATCAAAGCTAGGTAATATCGACCAGATTTTATTAAATTTTGCTATTAAAAATCCCTAGGTTTCATTAAGGTACATACCAGAGAACTGCATCGAGTAATACATTTTTATTTGTACTTAAGTACAGATCCGTTACTCTATCTGATTCTGTCGATTCATGAGATCACCTAATCGATATAGTTGACTTTTCGGCACTCTGATTCAAATAAAAGGACTTAAAAATAAAAAATTGGTTGCAATATAGGCGCGTTACCGATAATTTTTGGGTATTCCCCCGGAGGCCTATTTTCACCCATATAATATATATAATACTAAACAAAACTATTTGTAATAATTTAAACAAAAATATAAAGAATATATTCTTCAAATATTTTTAATAAAATAGAAAAGATTTACAAATTTTTTGATACAATAAATAAAAATTTAATCAAAACTAGATAAATTTAATCTTTATGAATTTTAATAATCGAAATACATTTGAAAATTTAACAAAAACGTACTTTAAATAATACATTGGACAGCATAACACGGCATCACACTCGTGTCTTCTCTGAGGCATTTGGTCGTTTTAGTAGTAGAATACTTAGGAAACCCCTCGAAATGCCTGGGCTTTTGCCCTGAGTCTTCCCTCATTCTATTGCATTCTTAATATAACTTCTGTCATTCTATAAGCTTTCGCCTGCGTATGTATGGGTGAAAATGATAGAATTTGTCGCTTGTAGGTTTATACAATGATCGTGATTGCCGAAGAACAAATTGTTCGTGTTGCATCAGATCAGTTGACGGGTGGCTACTCGAATTGATTAGCACTGTTGTCTGTGCTGAACTTAATTGATTGTGTTTCTGGCACGACTGTTTGTTCTGATTTTATCATACTCGTTGCAGCTCTCTGGTTCATACATACATTTATTGGAGTAAAGTCATTCGGATTTTCGAAAATACTGAAATTAGTTATATGTGATATGATAACTTGACCTAGCCAGTTTTCGTCTAATTGTACCTATTTTAGGCAAATCTTTATATTAGGTACATATATGAGGGCTAAGGAACGATGACCGATATTTTTGGTGCCACACTTTAAAGGAATTATTAATGCAAAATTTTAGCCCTTTATTTTAATTTCTTCTTGACTTTGTAGTTTTTACGTGATTCGTACAACCGTTAGGTGAATAAAACTATGCTACTCTGTAGCAACTGGTTGCAAGAGTATACTAATTAGTTACATACATATATACTTACTTCTTCTTTAGTAACGCAATTCTCACTTTCTTGTGTGGTGTCATAATTATTGCAGTGTTCTGAAACTGAGAATAAAGTGCATCCAGTAGGGTCTAAAGGAATGCACCATTGAATGGCGTTGAGTAGAAAAAGATCCGACCATGATTCTTCTAAGAGAATGACCTAAAATTACAGAGAAAACATAATATCTTATACATATCTTATATATTATATAAAAATAAATCGCAAAATGTGTTGCTAAGCGCATAACTCAACAACCAATTTGGCCAATACTTTTTTTTAACTGTTCATTGAGGTTCAAGGATGGTTTTTACGGCAGTAAAAATTCGAATAATTGCCGGAAAACCCCTAAAAAAAGCCCTTTTCTTTTTCCCCATATAAACGAATGAATGTTTATTTGTTAGTAACGCTAATGCTCGAGAACGGCTCAGCCAATCTTGATGAATTCTTCAGAGGTTGTTCACTGTGGATCGGGGAAGGAAATAATAAAACATATCATTCTTTTTTCCATCAACGTAGGCAGCCCAAGACACATGAACGACTACTCACAGAATGCGATGACATACATGTGGAATTATGGATGGCGGTCAATCAGCAAGCGATCGTCACGATGTTGCATAAGGACATTTCAAACAACAGCTGCGATGTTTGATGGACTTTATCTTCAAGCAACGTATATGTGGTGCTGTTAGATGCTAGATGTACTATGTTGAGTGGCAAAAGAGTGGCACATATTCTTCTTTGGTTGGTGGATGGTGGTTACATCAGATCAAATTGGTGAAATCAGTTCTGCCTAAATTCCTGATCCAGAGAAAGATCCAGTATTATACGAAGTGATGAAAACCAATATGGTCCATGGACCTTCCAGACACCACAATCCCACTTCGTGTTGTATGTCTGACAATAAATGCACGAAACACTATCCACGTGCTACTCTTTTATAAACGTTTTCCTGCAGTTAATTTGGAGAATGGCCAAAGAGTGTATTTCAACCCAGGGAATACAGTGCAGTCAACAGAAATATCACAAGCAAAAAAATTAACATTTACGAGTTTTTTCTCAACTTTCATCACTGCTCCGTTTGCGAGAACATTGCTCTTTTCGGAAATACCTTCGTATTACACATGGAAAGCATCGTCGAAGAAATAGTTACGCAGAAAGCAAGACCAACCAGTAGATGAACATACAGGTGTGTTACCGACTAATATGTATTAGGACAAATTCACACAATCCACCCGAAAAACTAGGATTGTTTCTACCTTCGGTTGCTATTGATTAATGTAAGCGGTTCAACGCCATTTGAGTCATTGCGTACTGTGAATGGTACGGTATGTGCAAGGTTTGGAGAAGTAAGCCAGCAATTACAATTCTGGAACATGTTAATCACTGGAATGCAAATGAAGTTTGCACTGTTTTCGCGATAATCATTTCGACATATCAGCCTTAAAATTAGCGTCAATTAGCTGAGAAAAATACCGATGTTGTTGACTTAAACTGGAAGATTCAAAGTCAAATTCCGGGATTTGCGGTCATACAAATCGATATATCGTCTTGACAATGAAAACGACGCTGTGAATTATCCAGTGGAATTTCTAAATTGGAGAGGCTTAGTTACACCGCATTATTTGCCTCTCAAAGTTGGATCTGTCGTTATTATGTTTCGCAATCTGCTTGCGCCGAAACTGTGTAATTGAACCTGACTGATTGTGACGCACCTTTCGAATACAAGGGGCAGAATGCTTGATGCTACGAATTCCTTTGAGTTCCAATGATTTGCCATTTCAAACGTATTCCGCTTCAAGTGAAAATTGCATTTGAGGTGATGATCAACAGGACACAACTTGGTTTGCCAAGTTTGGAAGTGCTAAGTTTTTCACACGGTCAGATATACGTGGCGCGCTCACGAAATGGAAACCATCTTTTCTGTACACCGGAACAGAGACCAAAAAATGTTGTCTAATAAGCTGCGATACATTGATAAAAATTAAATGATAAATTTAACTTCCTTTTCATTTCAAAACACATAATTTCACGCAGGACAACGGCTGCGGGGTAAGCTAGTTGTAAATAATAGCAAGAAAAAACGTTAATTTCGGTTGTACCAAAGCTTTAATACCCTTCACATAGAGTAAAAATTTCCTTCAAGAACTTGATAGTTTGTATGGCAGCTATATGATGCACATATTTCTCCGATCTAAACAATTTCATCGGAGCTTTTATTACTACCGTAGGAAATAATCCTTGCCAAGGAAGCTATATGCTAAAGTAATATGATCTGAACAATTTCTTCAGAGAACACATTATTGCTTAAGACTAAGCCCCTGCTAAATTTTGTTAAGATACCTTGTCAAATTAAAATTTTTTCCATACAAGCACCTAAGTTTGATGGGTCGGTTTCTATTGGTAGCTGTATGATATAATGATCCGATTTGAAGAATTTATTCAGATATTGTAGGATTGATTTGAAAAGTAATACATTCCAAATTTTGTGGAGATATTATCTGCCTAAACAAAAAAGGGACATTTGCAAGAACTTGAATTTAATCGTTCAGAGTATATGGCAGCTATAAGCTTTAGTGATCTGATCTTCACATATTCCATTATTGTCTTAGATTATGACCCTTGCCAAATTTCGTGAAGAAACCTTAACAATTGAAATAGTTTTGCATACAAGCCTTTGAAAGCGATCGTTCACTGGCAGCTATTTGCTAAAATTATCCAATTTCGACAGGTCCGACGAATGAGCAGCTTCTTGGAGAAAACAACGTGGGCAAACGCTAAATTGATATCTTAAAAACTGAAAAACTGGTTCGGGCATATACAGACAGCCAGACGGACACGGCTGAATCCACTTAGCTCGGGACGTTGATCACTTAAGTACATATTTTGAAGGTCTTCGACGTTTCCTTCTGGATGTTACAAACAAATTCCAGCACAGCAGATTTCACGGTAGTAAAGGTGGAATAAAAGGAAACCCATTCTTCTTGGTCTCAGCCCACAAGGCTCATGAGGTGGTCATACCACCGCCACCACTTATAAAGCTACTAGAGGACAACAAAAAGGAAGATATCCTAGTAGGGTGTGATGCAAACGCAAGGTACACCGTGTGGCGTAGCTGCAGTGTATAGACCAGAGGTGAGTCACTCTTACAATATATGTATATATACAACAAGGGCGATAAGCCAACTTTTATTTTCCCAAGCTCTGATAGGTTTCCGGGTAGGGAGGAAGTGCTGGATAACTGGAGGGTGGCCGGTGAGCCTTCCATGACGGATCACTCCTCGATACTCTTCATCATTCGCGAGAAATTCAAGACCACTCTTAAATATCAAAACCCCAGAAGAACAGCATGGGAAAAATTTACTAGAATAGCAACAAAATTGCCTGAAAAAGGAGACAATAAGAATATCAGTAATCCTCAAGAACTCGATACGGAAGTAGAGAAGTTAGAAAAAATCTTCACAACAACTTTCAATAAATCCACTCCGCTAACAGTTCTGAAAAAAAAAATCTTCTTCTTCTTGGTGGAGAATTTTAGAACACAACTAAGAAAGTCTTTCCATTAGAGTTTTATAACCAAAATCTGACAACCATACAAAAATACAGAAAAGCAGTCAGGAAAGCTAAAACTGACTCATGGCGATCTTTCTGCACAGTTGCAGAGAACCCGCAAGGCTAAGTAAAGTATTAGGCGGAAGGAAATGCTTGGATCTCCTCTGCAATAGAATCTCTGATAAAAAATCTGATAAAATCAAATACGCCATAAATAGTTTCTCATAATGCTGAAAAAGCTGGAGGAACCAATGATTTTAATCCTTGAAAATATATACAAAGCAAGCATTCAGCTGTCTTACATCCCAAGGAGTTGGAAAAGAATTCAAGTAGTGTTCCTACCAAAACCAGACAAAAGAACACACGATAATGCTAAAGTTTTTAGACCTTTAAGCCTCACATCTTTTATGCTGAAGGTACTGGAAAGGCTAATGGACTTACATATAATAACAACCATAGATAATTTATCGAAGTCTCAACATGCATACATAAAGGACCGATTAACCGAAACTTCCCTTCACGATGTGATAAGTGTAATTGAAAAATCACTACTTTTCTTCTTTTTTGCGGTAGACACCGCTTTCGCTATTATATAGGAGTTAATTCATTCAGTCATTTCTTCTTTTCGCTACGTGGCGCCAATTGGATATTCCAAGCGAAGACAAGTCCTTCTTCGCGTGATCCTTCCAACGGAGTGGAGGTCTTCCTCCCCTGCTTCCCCCGGCGGGTCGAATACTTTGATAGCTGGAGTGGTTTCGTCCATTCGGACAATATGACGTAGCCAGCGTGGCCGCTGTCTTTTAATTTTCTGAACCATGTCAATGTCGTCGTATGTCTCATACAGTTCATCGTTCCATCGAATGCGATATTCGCCGTGGCCAACGCGCAAAGGACTGTAAATCTTTCACAGAACTTTTCCTCGAAAACTCGCAACGTCGACTCATCAGCTGTTGTCATCGTCCAAGCCTCTACACCATATAGCAGGACGAGAATTATGGGTGACTTATAGAGTTTGGTTTTTGTTTATCGATAGGGGACTTTGCTTCTCAATTGCCTACTATGTTCAAAGTTATGACTACCAACATTGAGGTGAGAGCCAAGTCGAAGGTGCGACGACTGTTTGTTTGATGACAGGAGATATTTCGTCTTGCCCTCGTTCAGTGCCAGTCCAGTCTGGAGAAAGCAGAACTAACTACGCGGGTGTTGAAGCCGATGATATCAATATCGCCAGCAGCTGTACAGTCTTATAAAAGGTTGTACTTGCAGCTCGAAGTATTTTCTCCAGAAGCAGGTTGAATAAGTCGCACGATAGGGAGTCGCCTTGTCTGAAACCTCGTTTGATTATAACGGAGCTTTTGATGTTGCTCAACATCAGTTTACAAAGTCGTACTAGTTTTGTGGTTACAATTTCCCGTACTAAATGGTACAACACTCTCTCTATCCCCTTTAGCTAAATACTTGGGGGTGTAAATTGACACCAAACTGTCCTGGAATATAAATATAGAAAAAATATATATGGCCCACTAAACTTGCAAAAGAATCGTCAGCAAGAATTGGGGCTTAAACCTAGTATAACCATGTGGATGTATCCGGCTATCATAAGCCCTATACTTACATATGGAGCTGTGATATGGTGGCCAGCGCTAAAGAAACAATACAACAATAGGAAATTAAATGGAATACAATGAGCAGCATATGCACGTATTACTGGTGCACAAAAGTCTTGTCCGACTGACCTGCTTAATTCCGCTAGGATCGATCAAAAGAGAGCTCAATATACAATTTCAAAAAGTTTCAAATAACCGATGGAAAAATACATAAAACAAAATACCATATAGCTAAACAGTTATGGCCGACATATGACAAGAAAAAAACTAACTGCTACCATAACAGGGCACTGGCGTTTTAAAATGTCTCATAAAGCTAGCCATTTACTATATTAAAGTCTCACTTCCTATAATGAACGTCCATATAATGAATCACAGATGTGCATTTTTGATTCTTTATAGTTAATTTTTCAGTGCAGAGTTCAGATTATTAAATATTTAAAAAAATTAAGAAGTGATTTCAAAAAATACAATGCACAATTAACTCAATTGAATGAGAAAAATTCTGTTATGGGCATATACCTCAGTGTTGATATTGGAGTGAAGACCTGGGACAGACCGTCCAATAAAGATATCCTCAGCGACCTTCTAGAAAGTCGCGGAGTTCCAGCTGTACTTGGTTATAGTCAAACAAAAATTTAATAAAAAATATTTATACTTTTACATATACAGAGAACGAAGAAGACGGCTGTTAATAACTAGCAGACAATAAAAAGGTTTTACCTACATAGGACAAGTTTCTCCATCATCATCATAGTTTCTATATAGTGAAGTAATTTTCATATCCCGTGCGAATTCACCATAGGAAAGTTCGATTGTATAATTGATCATTGAATTGTTAACTATTATTACAATTTCGCTTTCACCACTTTTCAACATTTTCTTAAAATAAAGATTACTTATTATACGTATCCGTAAGAATAAGATATCAGATAGAGATTTATGTTTCAAAAAATGCCATTTCATTGGACATGTAGTATATATATTATATTGTTTCAACAGTATTAGTAATCACTAAAGCTTTGTTTGTTATTGTTAATAAGATTACCTGATCTCGAAAGGACAGACTCGCAAAACTTGGTAAATTTTTTGCCCACTTTACGGCCATAAAGAGGAGGCGAGCACTGGTTTCATAAACTGTCTCATGTGGCTGAACATACAAGTTTTGTGGTACAAATGTCGGTATCGTGAAATGACAATCTAGTTTCTCGCTTCGCAGAGGCTCTTCATCATTGGTAACATCGATGGAGTCATCTTAAATACATAAATTTATAGAAGTGATATTTTTTTAAACCATAATAAAATATTTTTTATTTAATAACGCACGTCAGACCCATAAAAGTCTTAAATTTTCTGTTCTGATTGTTTTTCAAAACAGAGTTTCTCGTGAACTATGCAGTGGTTTGAACAATGACATATGTTCATACATATATAATTTTTTAGTTATATATTTATTAATTTTAATGTTCTAAACATCATTTTACTCTACAGTTTTTTTTATAAATAAATCAAAACTAGAAAAAAAAGTGTTTAAGGGATTCTAGTATTAATTTCCAAAATAATGTTCTACCTGCAATTTGCGTGTTTTTATTTATAAAAATAATGGAAACTTTGTACACTCGAAGTTGGGTGTGGCTGACGATATAGTAAGTATGTATATTTAGCTTTATTTACCGTCATTATCATTATCATGAACAGAACTGGTCGAACTTATGGACGAAACACTTCCTCCTACAGGATTTTTATCTAAAACTTAAATAAACGTAAATTCGTTAAGAAATATATAATATTGTGGCCAAGTATGTATATATTATTTACAAGACAGTAAATACAGTGCGCCAAATAAATATATGGGACAATACATAAATGCTATAGTAATACATATGCTGATTTTACCGCTATTTTGGTTTAACTTACTTAACGGTATGAACAGTTAGTCCAAAAATTACCAGAAAATACTGATGGTGTGAGTTTTTTACAATTTTCTGCTTAGCTAGGCTTGGGGACTGCCCGTTGATGGCGCGGTTTTGAGGAGCAATCCCAAATACTGATATTCAAATAAACCAGAATGCCCTTCCGAAAAATCGCAACGAGAATGAAAGGGAATGAGACGCGATTAAAACACCTCGAACAAGTTGATCACGTTTAATGAGATATATAAGGCGTTTGACAGTTACTAGAACGTAAGTCCCTTGCAAATTCGGTGTCAATTATCTCTTTCATTCACGACCCAATGCGTCCAAGAAATTCTAGAAACAGGTAGCCCATTTGATATGAATCTGTCATATTCTATGACGAGAAAAAGTTTAGTGTAGATGGACCCGACGGTTTTCCAGTATTACTATTGTAATATTCGTATATGTCATTTTGTATATCTTCAGTAATAAAAATCAGGATAAATTACATTGATTAGGGGAAGGTGGGGAATGTTGGGCATAGTTAAAAATTCACATAAAAGTTATTTTTTGTGAAAATTCCAAAGCATGGATTTGTAGTGCGAGTCGTAACCTTCCTTTTGATAACATTGGTTTGATAAAATTCTACAAAAATTTAAAAGTTATAGCCATTGGCGCAAAAAACCTGATTTTGCGCTTTTGAAAAAAGGTGGGGAATGTCGGGCAAATCGATTAAAACATGATTGTTACCAATGAAAAACGTTTACTTATCAATGGAAATGAAAGAGAGATTCATAAATAAAAAAAAATTATTCCGACTCGCAGTGGATGCAGGTGTAAGTGTTCGGGTTCGGTCCGGCACATTTCAAGTGAACC